CTGCCTCAGAACACACCAGTGTACAATAGTTACCTCAGAATTATACAACCATAGGGCTAGAAAGGACTTCGGAGGTCTTCTGGACCAACCCCCTGCTCAAGAGTAACACTTGATCAGTATGAAATCTACCGTATTTTTCGCACCATAAGACGCACTTTCCCCCCCCCAAAAGATGGGGGAAAATGTCTGTGCGTCTTATGGAGCGAATGCCGCCTCCCACCACACCGTGCCAGCTGACGCCAGCTGACAGGCGCAGGAGGTAGGCGCCGCCGCGGTCTCCCAGCCGCTTGCTTCTTCGTCTGGACCACCCCTTGTCCCCGCGGCAGCACTCCTCGTTGCCGGCGCGGCCGCCCATGGTGCACCCGGCCTTGGAGCCCTCCTCTTGCGGCGGCGAAGTGGCTGAGGATGCAGCAGGGGCGGCGGCCGGGCCGGGGGCAGGGACCCCGACGATGCTGCAGTGGCCGCCGGCGGAGCCGCTACCTCCCGTCTTGCTCCCCCTCCCCGGCCGTTCGGCTGAGGATGCGGCGAGGGCAGCGGCTCCCGTCCTGCTCCCCATGCCCGCCCGTTCGTCTGAGGAGGCGATGGGGACGGCGGCCGGGAGCTGCTGCCTCCCATCCTGCTCCCCCTCCCCACCCGTTCGGCTGGGGAGGCGATGGGGGCGGCGGGCGGGAGGCGCTGCCTCCCGTCCTGCTCCCCATGCCCGCCCGTTCGGCTGGGGAGCCGATGGGGGCGGCGGGTGGGAGGCGCTGCCTCCCGTCCTGCTCCCCCTCCCCGCCCGTTCGGCTGGGGAGGCGATGGGGGCGGCGGGCGGGAGGCGCTGCCTCCCGTCCTGCTCCCCATGCCCGCCCGTTCGGCTGAGGAGGCGATGGGGACGGCGGGCGGGAGGCGCTGCCTCCCATCCTGCTCCCCCTCCCCTTCCCTGCCCGTTCGGCGCCGTCTGCCTTTCATTCTCTCTCTCTCCTAACCTGGAGGGAGAGGGAGGGAGAGAAAGAGAGAAAGAGGAAAGGAAGAGAAAGAGAGGAAAGAGAGAAAGAGGAAAGAGAAAGAGAGAGGAAAGAGGGAAAGAGAAAGA